ACTGATGTGGCAGGGATGTGCCTCCGGAGGCAGGGTAGAGAGAGGGCAGCTTAATGAGAACTGGGGGACTTCCATGCAGAAGGAGCAGAAGGCAACACAGAGGGAAATCCAGGCTGGGAGTTTGGGGAAACAAGCCCAGGCCTGGACTACTTTAACTGGGGTGTGACTTTGGATGTACCACCTCTTTCTCCTGGCCTCCGTTTGCTCCTCTGTAAAAGAAGTGGGACAGACCAGATTGTTTATAAGGTTCCTTCTAGCTGAAATATTGCATTGTGCAAAGTTTGACATTGGAAATAAATGCCAGCCCGGCTGAGGTGGCTCAATGGTTGAGTGTTGACCTAGGAGGTCATGGTTCGATTCCTGATAAAGGCACATGCCCAGGTTATGGGCTTGAACCCCAGCAGGGAGCATGCAGGAGGCAGCCAAGCAATTATTCTCATCATTGATGCTTCTCTCTCTCTCTTTCTCTCTCTCTCTCCCTTCCTCTCTGAAATCAATTATATATATATATATATATATATATATATATATATATATATATATTTTTTTTTTTTTTTTTTTTTTTTTTTTTTTTTTTAAGATAAAGAAGCCGAAACCGGTTTGGCTCAATGGATAGAGCGTCAGCCTGCAGACTGAAGGGTCCTGGGTTCAATTCCGGTCAAGGGCATGTACCTTGTTTGCAGGCACATCCCCGGTGGGGGATGTGCAGGAGGCAGCTGGTCGATGTTTCTCTCTCATCGATGTTTCTAGCTCTCTATCCCTCTCCTTTCCTCTCTGTAAAAAATCAATAAAATATATATTTATTTTTAAAAAAGATAAAGAAAATAAATGTCAGTTAAGGGAATGTAATAAGCATCTTGCTCATTCTGCAAGTCTGTGGTCTGCAGGTGACTCACTCCAGGCTAGGCCACACCTCCCCCATCATGCACACTCCTCCACATGTGCACACCAAATGCACGCACAGAGGCCATGCCAGCCCAGGGCCCATCTCTACAGCCAAAGAAGAGTCAGGCAAAGATGGGCAGAGAAGTGTAACATTTACTACCTGGCTGTTTTGGGAACTTCTGCCAACCCCGTCCCTACACAAGTTCTGAGTCCCCTGCCATTGGCAAAACCCAAACTCCATTGGTCCTCAACTCTGGACTCCATGCCCGAATGACAGTGATGGGGACAGGGCAGCCATTCTCCTCTAGCCCTCTATTCCCACTTCCCTCTTCCCAAATGCCCTCCCTTCTTCCTAACCCCCCTTCAAAGTCTCTAGAAGCTTCCCTTTCCTATTCCATTCCCCTTCTCCTTCCCACTTCTGACCTGTAACACTTCATTTCTGAGCCCCTTGCAAGGCACTCAATGCCACTGTCTTTCGTGATTTGCTTGTGTTTTGCCCTGATGGCTTCCCCACTGGGACTGGGAAGCATATGAAGGCAGAAACCACATTCTTTTTTTTCTTTTTTTTTTCATATGCTATTATGAACCCTTGTATTTTATTCGATTTCCTTCATTTTTACCTAATATCCTATTTCTTTTATTTTTCACTTTTTTAATTAAGGTATTATATGCATACATATCTTACCATTGCCCTCCTCCCCACTCCCATACATGTCCTCACTCCCCAGTTTTTCATCCATTGGTTATGCTTATATGTATGCATACAAGTCCTTGGGTTGGTCTCTTATCTCCCCCATATCTCCCTACCCTCCACGCTGTAATTTGACAGTCTGTTTGTTGTTTTTCTGTCTCTGTATCTATCTTTTTGTTCATCAGTTTATGATATTCTTTATTATCCATAAATGAGTGAGATCATGTTGTGTTTTTCTTTCAAGGGACCACATTCTAATTGTTGTTCCAGGATCCCCAGCACACCAAGGAGGGCCGGGCCCAGGTAGCTGCCGAGCAGATGGGAGCTGCTGAGGTCCAAATCAGAGCAGAGCATGAGATGACCACCCAGGGTCCCCCTCCACGTGCACAGCCTCTACTTCCGGAGGGGATCTGGAGCAAGGAGTCCCTGCACCAAGAGAAATGCTTCGCTCCATGCAGCCCAAGCCTGGAAGTGCTCATGTCTTTACCACTAGAATAACTCAAAGTCCAACTCTGCGGAGAGGTTCCTCAAGGACTGGCACGGCTTCGTTTTCCCCTCCAGGGAGTGTCCCTGGCAGGGTGAACCAAGGAGCGGGGGCTTTTAAAGCATATGAAAAAGCCCAACTGACGTGGCTGTAGTTGAGCGTTGACCTATGAACCAGGACGTCACGGTTTGATTCCAGATCAGGGCACATGCCCAGGATAAGAGCTCCATCCCCAGTGTGGGGCCTGCTGGAGGCAGCCAATCAATGGTTCTCTCATATCATTGATGTTTCAATCTCTCTCCCTCTCCCTTCCTCTCTGAAATCAATAAAAATATGTTTTATTTAAAAAAAAAAAAAAAAAAAAAGCATGTAAAAAAATTTTTTTCTGAGTCTGTCATTGCTTAGGGTTCAGCAATCAGACAGGCAAAAAGCAGGTCGTGGAAGGGGGCCACTGCTCTGCAGGGGAGACGCTGTTCTAACCCTGGAGCACAGCCCAAGCACAGCCCTGCTCTCCGCACTGAGGTTGCTGAAGCTGGGGGATGGGGTGATTTCCTGCTGTGGGGGCCAAGAAGCAACATCTGGATAAAAAGCTTGGCTGAGGCCACTTGATGTAATCTCCTCAGGAAGGTAAAGGCGGTGGAAAATCAATACAGCAGAGGAGGGGAGGCTGAGAGGGGACAGGAGGGGCCTCTTACCTCAGGCAGCCCGAGTAAGAGCCTTGACATTCAGGCTCCTTTCCCGATAAGCACAGGAACAGGTGAACCAGCCTTTCTCATAACCATAGCAACAGGCACATTGAGAAGACACGGAGGCTGAAATGCTTGTGCTGTCCAGTGGGTGCCCCTCCCAGCACCCCAGGACAGATTCCACACCTCTGGCGACAGAGATGAGAGGCAGCAGCTTATCACCCCCACTTTGGGAGGTCCCCTGGGGCCCCCCTGATTCCCTTGATAAACCTTCTGCAGTATCCTCTCCTTTCACACAAAATAGGAATTTACTCTCTCCTTTCCTCCACTGCACCCTGAAGATTTCAGCTTGCACTCACTTACTGGGCATAAAAGTTGAAGGCTGGCCCTAACCGGTTTGGCTCAGTGAATAGAGCATCGGCCTGCAGACAGAAGGGTCCCCGATTTGATTCTGGTCAAGGGCAGGGGCCTCAGTTGCAAGCTCAATCCAGGGCCCAGGTCATGGTGCTGCGGGAGGCAACCAATTGATGAGTCTCCCTCACACTGATGTTTATCTCTCTGTCTTGCCCTCTCCCTTCCACTCTCTCTGAAAATCAGTGGGAAAATATCCTCAGGCCCTAGCTGGTTTGGCTCAGTGGATAGAAGGTCGGCCTGTGAACTGAAAGGTGCCAGGTTTGATTCCGTCAAGGGTACACGCACAGGTTGTGGGCTCAATCCCCAGTGGGGGACTTGCAGGAGGCAGCCGATCCATGATTCTCTCTCATCATGGCTGTTTCTCTCTCTCTCCCTCTTCCTTCCTCTCTGAAGTTAATAAAAATATATTTGTTAAAACTATCCTCAGGTGAGGATTAACAGAACAAAACGATGCAGACTGTCAGGCACCTGGACACCTCTAAGCCCTGGGCACTGCACCACAGTCTTTGTTGCTTAAGGAACTGTCCTTCTGGTCCACGGTAGTAACTTCTCTGTTGCCTTGAAGGGAGGGTTGAGCCCGGGACTGGGTGGCCCAGTCCCAATCACGAGGTGTGCGCTGAACTCCACGCATTGGCTTTAAAGCCATAGAGGGCTTGGAGGTGAGACTCCATGGAGTTGAGCTTTGGCAAGATGCCTGCTTTGAGGCAGATTGTAAATTATAAATAAGTAAAACAGCTCTGCTTCTCCTCCTTTGCCCCAGCATGTGGTGAAAAACAACAGAACCCAGCCTGCAGCCCTGTTTCCTCCTCAGGTTGGCTGCTCAGTCACAGGCACTGGCTTTATCATTGTGTCAGCATCTTAAGCCCATAATCCCCAGGCAACAATTTAGCAGATCCTCCCTCGCCCCACGGAGACCTGGATGCAGATGCACCCTCACTACTAGCCATCAGCTCACTGTTGTCGTGGGGGAGGCGTGACTGTGCACCACCAGCCTCCCTGGCGACCATGTGAAATAACCAGGCTTCGGATAACTCGGCAGAAAAAGCAACAGCAGGAATTCAGAGCCCCCACGGGAATAGCTAATCCCAGAGAGAAATTCTAGCCAGTGTTGTACCTACCCACTGTGATGTTTTTCCACAACCGTCCAGTGAAAAGGAAACAAAGAGATTCGTTCTGGGTTTAGGGAATACGCCAGACACGGCAGAAACCAGCCTTTACTGTGGACAAGCAAATCCCTCTTGGACTCTGGCTGCCTCCGTCCACCAAAGGGCAGTGCATTCTCCTCTGTCCATCGCGGTTGGCAGGGAGAGCATAGCAGGTGCTGCTCCCCTCCCTCCCTCCCTCTGTGACCTTCACTCCAGGGCCTCGTTTGTGAACGGACTTCATGCCTGAGAATCGGGCCTGTTTCCCAGGGCTACTGAGAGCCATGGCAGGGACGGCTTAAAATCTGCAGACAAAGGAGAGTTCAGAATCCAGCAGCCGGAGACCACAGCAGTGGTGGGGGGAGGAGCAGAAGGGGGTCCCTGTCACCCTCTGCCTTTAGCTCCATCCCAGTCCATGCTGATGGCTGGGTCTCATACCAACATGTTACAGGGGGTCCATGCCATCAAAGGCCCGAGATGAACAGAATTTGCTCCTCTACGCGTCACAGTGGGGACCCAGCAAGAATATGTTGATGATCAAATCATTGGGGTTCCCAGTTTTCTTCCCCAGTCAAGGTGGCATTTGTTCTGACTCCAAAACCAGAAACAGCAAGTGACAGGCTTATTATTATTATTATTATTATTATTATTATTATTATTATTTAAGAAAGAAAAGCATCAGTGTAGATAACGAACGCTTGCCTTAACCAAGTAACATTTTATTTCATGGGATAAAAGCAAAGAGAATGAATTGTCAGAAGTCTCCCTCCAACATCATGAACATGCTTTCCAAAGGAAGTTATAAGAATTGTTTAAGGCGCGCAGAAAAGAGTCAGGCTTGCCTTTCTTCCAGAACATTCTCTGCCCTAGATGCACAGCACCGATACCACATCCCAGAAAAGAGAGAGGCTCACAGACACAGGAGCCAGACCCTGTACCGAGGGTCTCCGACTCTACGTTTCACAGAAAAACACCACAGTAACTCTCTCTTCCATAAAGACAACATATGTCCAAGAAAAATATATCCAAAATATCTTCATCTGAACTACAGTACAAAAATCCTCTCACTAGCCATAAAAATATTTCCCCCTATACACAAATATAATAATATGTAAAGCAAATTTGGAACACATGGATGGGGGAGGAGGGGCACGGTATAAAATCCCTGGGGATCTGGGCTATTTAAAGTCATTTTTGTTTGGGTTATTCCTCTGCTGGGTATAGGAAACTGGCTACAAATACATCCATCTCATGGCGCTCACCATTTTAACAGCTCTTTGCGTCATGGAATGTGGTACTTTTTAAAAATAGGCGACTCTTGGTGTCATGGAAAGAAGAGGAAAAGTTGGGGGGATCCAGGGAAAGAGGGAGTGAGGAAGGGATGGGAAGAGGGAAGGGAAGAGGGACAGACTTGGGTTACGGGGTGGGTTTGAAATACTCTGTGGTATAATGTAAAGAGGCCCAAGCTCGGGAGGCTTCCGGCATCCCACCAGAACCCCCCCATCCCCCTCACAAATCTGTCTCCCGGCTGGTGTCCAGGCAGAGGGCATACAGGGACCTCCGCAGGTCCACATTGCTCTTGGCCTTGAGGTGACACTTCTCTAGAGGGCAGCTGCCCCCTCGGGCCCCCTCAGCATTCTCCGGGGGGGGCCCCTTGCAGAAGGACCCCTTGTTCCAGCTGGCCTTCCGCTGCTGGCCTCTGCCCTCCGGCCCCAGCCCCTGGCTCTGGTTGCCCTGCTCCTCCTTGAGGGCGGCCAGCTCCTCCGACTCGCGGTGGTCCGTCTCCCGGTGGTAGAAGTAGTTGAAGTTGGAGACGATGACGGGCACGGGCAGCGCGATGGTGAGGACCCCGGCGATGGCGCACAGGGAGCCCACGATCTTGCCGCCGACGGTGACGGGCCTCATGTCCCCGTAGCCCACCGTGGTCATGGTGACCACCGCCCACCAGAAGGCGTCGGGGATGCTGGAGAAGTGGCTCTTCTGGTGGTCCACCTCGGCGAAGTAGACAGCGCTGGAGAAGAGGATGACACCGATGAAGAGGAAGAAGATGAGCAGGCCCAGCTCCCGCATGGAGGCCTGCAGGGTCTTGCCCAGGATCTGCAGCCCCTTGGAGTGGCGGGACAGCTTGAAGATGCGGAACACGCGGACCAGGCGGATCACCCGGAGGATGGCCAGGGACATGGCCTGCTGCCCGTTCTGGCCGCCGCCGCCCCCGGAGGACTGCGGCTCGGCCAGCTCGGTGCCCAGGGTGATGAAGTAGGGGAAGATGGCCACCACATCGATGATGTTCATGATGTTCCTGCAAAAGTCGGCCTTGCTCGGGCAGGCCAGGAAGCGCGCCAGCAGCTCGAAGGTGAACCAGATGACGCACGTGGTCTCCACGATGAAGAAGGGGTCGGCCAGGGTCCTGGGCAGCCGAGTAGGAGGCGCCGCCGCCGTGGGGCCGGGGCCGGAGGAGGTGGAGGGCGCCCCGGCCCCCCCGCTGCTGCCATTGGCCCCCCAAGCCGCCGGCCCCCCCAAAGGCGGGGGATGGAGAGCCGCCGCGGCCGGGGGATGGCGGTGCAGCTCGCGCTCGTCCTTGAACTCGGGCAAGGTCTCCAGGCAGAAGGTGATGATGGAGACGAGGATGACCAGGACCGAGACGATGGCGACGGCGCGCGCGGAGCCCGAGCTCTCCGGGTACTCGAAGATGAGCCACACCTGGCGCTGGAACGGGCGGCGGGGCAGGGGCTTCTCCTCCTCCTTGATGAAGCCCTCGTCCTCCCGGAAGCGCTCCATGGCCTCGTCCCCAAGCTGGTAGAAGCGGATCTCGTCGGCGAACACGTCCAGGGAGACGTTGACGGGTCGGCGGAGGCGGCCCCCGGACTGGTAGTAGTAGAGGATGCCGTCGAAGCTGGGCCGGTGGCGGTCGAAGAAGTACTCGTTGCGCAGGGGGTCGAAGTAGCGCAGGCGCCGGGCGGGGTCCCCCAGGAGCGTGTCGGGGAACTGCGCCAGGGTGCCCAGCTGCGTCTCAAAGCGCAAGCCCGAGATGTTGATGTGGACGCGCTGGTGGTGCAGGGCCGGCGCCGCGCTGCTGGGCACCGGGTCGTCCTCCGCCGCCGCGCCCTGGGCGGGGTCGTCTTCGCCCTCCTCGTCCCCCGGGGGGACCTGTCTAGGCGGCTGCGGCTGCTGCGGGGGCAGCGGGGGCGAAGGCCGCCCTCCCGGCTCCGCGCTCCGGGGCGCGCCGCACCCCCCGGGCGCCGGCCCTCTGGGTCCGTCGCAGAGCGCGGCCGTCGAGGGGCACTGGAGCTCCCCCGCTGGGACATGGCCGCAGCCCCCCCGGGCCTCACCTCCTCCTCCTCGGACGGTCATGGCCCCGCCGTTCTCCAGGGGCAGCAGGGAGATCTCCATGGCCCCGGGGCGCGGGGCATGCTGCGCCCCTGTGGGTCGGTTCCCGCGCCCCCGCTCACACTCCGCGAGGGCCTGGCGTGGGGCTCCTCTCCCGCCGTCGGCTGGCGCACCAGTGGGGCGGGCGCTGCTAGGGTTGCTGGCGCGCGCGATCCCCTCGCTAGGTCCTGACGTCAAGAAGCCGCTGCCCAGCTAGCTCGCTGCCTTTCTCTGGGTTCTGGCAGCCCGTTACCAAGCAGCCAAAAGCCTCCTTCCAGCAGATGCAACCTTCAGCCGCCCCTCCCGGCGGCGCGGCGCCCAGCCTCTCCCTCCCCTCTCCCCCCTCCCCCCTCCCTCCTTTTCCCGCCTACTCCCCTCCCCTCCTCTTCCTCCCGCCTCCCCTCCCGGGTACCCAAACAGCGTGCGTCTCTGGTCTCTCCGGAGGGCGCAGCGGGGGCCCTGAGCAGGGGAGGGAGGAGGGCTGAGAGGTCGCGCCAGGGCGAGGGAGAGAGGTTGGGAGGGAGCGGCGAGGATGGAGGAACAGGTTGTACCAAGAGCGCTGAAACTCCCGGGGCAACCAGATGAGAATAGCTCGGGGTTTCAGTTCACCTGGGAGCACGCTGAACGCAGAGTGGACTCGAGGGGAAATGAATTGTCATGGGTTGAAGGGATAAATCTTTGGCTGCGTCGGAGTGAGAAAAGAGGCAACCATCCTTTTCACATCTCTGCCCTTGGAGGAATGACGGTTCTCTCTTCTTTGGGAAACATTTCACACTGAAAGGGGCGAGGCAGAACTATATAGGCCTTGAAAGATGAGATAGATAGATGACAAATAGATAGATAGATAGATAGATAGATAGATAGATAGATAGATTTCCAAACCAATGGAGAAGCCTCTTCCCAACTCCTAACAAACCCACCAAGAGGTAATAGGCTGCAACCTTGCAGTTACCCCTCCCTTGCCCTGGGAAAGCCCTCATTTCCGGTCCAGATAGCAGTGGTCAGCAGCCCTGTAAGTTAAGGTTGCGAGTTTGATACCTGGTCAGGGCACATACAAAAAGCAATCAATGAATGAATAGATAAGTGGAACTACAAATTGATGCCTCCCCCCCAAAAAATCAATAAATAACATATTTTTAAAAACTCCTTAATAGGGAAGGGGAGGAGGGATGAAGAAATCCTGGTGAGAGCTGTTCTTGCCCGGCGAGGGGAGCTAGCCACGGTGGAGGGACAGTTTACTTTTTGTAACATATTTTATTGATTTTTTACAGAGAGGAAGGGAGAGGGAAAGAGAGTTAGAAACATAGATGAGAGAGAAACATTGATCAGCTGCCTCCTGCACACACCATACTGGGGATGTGCCTGCATCCAAGGTACATGCCCTTGACTGGAATCGAACCTGGGACCCTTCAGTCTGCAGGCCGACGCTCTATCTCCTGAGCCAAACCGGTTAGGGCTAGGGACAAGTTTGCATGAGAGAACCAGGGACCTTGTGGAAGCCCCAGAGCTGAGCAACTCCCAGCAGTAGAATAATAACCAACACATACTTTGCTCTTATGATGCACCAGGCCCAGCAACCTGCTTCGTAAGTACTAAGATTATCCTTATTTTATAGATGAGGGAAATGAAACACAGTGAGACTGACTAACTTGCCAAGGTCATACAGGCAGGAAGTGGCAATGCTGAGGTTCACACTTACGCATGCATGGATTGGGCTCTTGCTCCTGGCACTCCACTCCTCTGCAGAAGTGTGTGACCCCCTTTCCAGATGCAGGCACTCTCTCCCCGAAACATGGGGCCTGAAAGCTTAAGTTCCCTCCTGCAGGAGGCAAGGGATGGCTAAGATAACAGCCAAGTCCTTCTGGGTTACCACACTGGGCTACCTATCTGCCCCTGCCCCAGCTCCCACCACGTTTCAGTGGGCATCTATAGTCAAAGGAAATACCTTTCAAGGCAATTCTGGCAGTTCCAGATGTTAGTAGGTTTTAAGTTACCATAAAGTCACTGTGTTTTTTTTAATGTCTGATTAGTTTTGTTCCTCTATATATTTTGGGGGGTTTATGAGTGTGGATGCTACAGTCTCTTGTCTGCCATCTGCACAGGTGGGATGTTTTGGAAACTTGGTACCAGGTGCACAAGTGTTGGTTGAAATAGCAGGGTGTGGACATGAAGGCCCCTGTCTGGCTGGAGAAGTGTATGTGCGTGTGGCTTTTTGAAGTGTATGTGAGAGTGGACATGATTTCAGCAGGTGGACATGTTTTCATTGTGTGTGACTTGTGCATGTGATTCGCTGTGCTTACAGATGTGCATGAGTGAGGAAGGGGCAGGAAAGTGAAAACCAGTATGTGGAGGCATCGCTGGTTGACCAAAGGGCCTTGCACGCCCCTCCCCAGACCTCTGCCATTCCTGCTCCATCTGCTCTGGGTTTTGTTTTTGTTTTTGTTTTTTTAATATATTTTATTGATTTTTTACAGAGAGGAAGAGAGAAGGATAGAGAGTTAGAAACATCGATGAGAGAAAATCATCGATCAGCTGCCTCTTGCACACCCCCTACTGGGGATGTGCCCACAACCAAGGTACATGCCCTCAACCGGAGTCGAACCCGGGACCTTTCAGTCCGCAGGCCGACGCTCTATCCACTGAGCCAAACCGGTCCCAGCTGCTCTGGGTTTTTATTTTCTCTGGCTCTGAGGTTGCCAGTCAGGGTCAGGTATGCCCTTGGGGAGCCCGGGGCTTGCTGAGCTGCAGACCCCTGGCCTTGCTTCTTGTTTACTGACTCGTGCATCTTATAACTACAGGGATACCAGACTGGTTCAGAGGATCTCTTCCTGGGCTCCCCAAGGAAAAATGTTCTCTGGACCTTGTCTTCCAGGGGGAGACCGTTTCCTGAAGAATCAGCACAACATAAACAGTCCTGGAAAAGCACACAGGCCAGGCTTCCTTTAATGTGGTCATTTCTTAAATCTGCTTTCCATACATCTATTGCTTTCATAATTTTTATTTTTTTTTTTCAAAATTGCCTCCAGATGCCACATGTGGCAGCCATGGGTCTCCCCTTAAACAAAGAACTTACTTTTTTAGTTTCAAGGAGTACAGTTAGCTGACAGCCTCAGCTGGTGGTGTTAGGGGCAGAAATAGAATATTGTGGACTAGCTGTTAGTTATAAGAAACATGAATCGTTCTCTGTTAACTGTGATTGGTTTGTTCTGATTAAAGAAAGCACATTCTATCCAGGCTGAGAGTTATACACCCTTGGGATCTGGGAGTCAACCTTAGAATGTGGTCCATTCTCAACCAAGAACTGCCTATTATCCTGGAAAGACTAACAACCTTATTGCCCAAACAATGGAGGCCCACAATGCCTGTAATCTCTACCTGTCATATCCATTCTTATTCCTTTTGCCTATTTGCCTGGTTTATGGAGGGTGCAGGGCGGATTTTCATGAATGACCTGCTGCTCTCCTATGCTGCTGGCATTATTGGAAAAAAATGCTCATATAAGATTCAACCCTGCCTCTGTTTACTTGGCTCAGGTAGTGACCGGCACTCCAGATCCACAGGGTAACAAGGACAGGCCATTTCTGCTCAGTGCAGACTCGGCTGTTTTCCCAGTCCTTTTTCTCTCACTCTGGTAAACAGCTATTTCATATCACCCCCATCACCTTCCATCTCCCCTCCATCAAAAAAGGAAAGTGGCCGAAACCGCTTTGGCTTAGTGGATGGAGCGTCGGTCTGCGGACTGAGGGGTCCTGGGTTCGATTCCGGTCAAGGGCATGTGTGTTGGTTGCGGGCACATCCCGGTGAGGGGGGGGGGGGGGTGCGGGAGGCAACTGGTTGATGTTTCTCTCTCGTCGACGTTTCTGGCTCTCTATCTCTCTCCCTTCCTCTCTGTAAAAAATCAATAAAATATATTTTAAAAAAAACAAACAAACAAACAAACAAACAAACAAAAAAGGAAAGTGAAGAAAACCATCTTAGCATCTCCTCTACGAGGGAAGCTGTCACCCCCAGACTGGGGGGACTTGTTCGTTCCCACTTCCCCACAGTTCCTCACATCTTTGTAAGCAAACATGAAGATGTTGGGAGTCAGAGGAGAGAGCTTGGGACTTCTTAGGCTGGACCGGGGAGAGCCAGTAAAAGGCAGCATAAATAAAATTCACCAAAATGCCTTTAAACAATTTTTTAAAAATATATCTTTATTGATTTCAGAGAGGAAGGGAGAGGGAAAGAGAGATAGAAACATCAATGATGAGAGAGAATCTTTGACTGCCTGCCTCCCGCACGCCCCAACTGGGGATTGAGCCTGCAACCCAGGCATGTGCTCCCGTCCCCTTTTTAAATATATATATTTTTTATTTTTATTTATTTATTTTTTTTACAGAGAGGAAGGGAGAGAGATAGAGAGCTAGAAATATCGATGAGAGAGAAACATCGACCAGCTGCCTGCTGCACACCCCCCACCGGGGATGTGCCCACAACCAATATACATGGCCTTGATGGAATCAAACCCAGGACGCCCCAGTCCATGGACCGACGCTCTATCCACTGAGCCAAACCACTTTCAGCAGTCATGTGCCCTTGACTGGAATTGAACCTGGGCCCCCTCAGTCTGCAGGCTGACGCTCTACCCACTGAGCCAAACCAGCTTGGTTTGGCTCAGTGGGTAGAGCCAAATTTTTTTATTAAAAAATAAAAAAATTATTAAAAAATAATTTTTTAAATATATTTTATTGATTTTTCACAGAGAGGAAGGGAGAGAGATAGAGAGCCAGAAACGTCGATGAGAGAGAAACATTGACCAGCTGCCTCTTGCACACCCCCTACTGGGGATGTGCCCGCAACCAAGGTACATGCCCTTGACCGGAATGGAACCTGGGACCTTTCAGTCCGCAGACCAACGCTCTACCACTGAGCCAAACCGGCTCCGGCTAAATAATTTTTTAAAAAATGGTAGGCTGGGTCTTACTGCTCAGTGTTACAAAGTATAGATTTTGTGGTGCATTACTATTAAATAAGATATGGCAAGGCTATGTTGCCAAGCAATGATTGAGTAGAGAATTATCAATCAGCAAAGGGGTAAAGCCCTCTCTCACTTAATCCTGTCCCCCAGATGCACTCCATGTAGATTTGTAGTAAAAAAGCATTTTAATGAGGGGAGCAGCTGTTCTTCCTCTCCCTGCCCTGCCCTCTCACTTGCCCCTCAATGCAACACCTTGGGAAGGAAACCCTGGAAATGACCTTCCTTTCCTGTTTGATGGAAGCGTCAATGTCGAAATAAAGCAAAACACATGAACAAAACAAACGTGTTTGAGGGGGGGGG